TTTTTTTTTTTGTTAATTATGAACAATGGACAAAAGTATTATTTTCTGAGAAAGTTTCATAAATTAAAATATTTAATGTTATTAGTAAATACCTTTCTTTAACTTTAAATGTTTTTTTTTTCAGTATTCTGTTTAATAAACTGTTTCATAAATGACAATTTTAAATCAGACAGGAAATACCACAACTTTCACCTATACATAAACTGATTAAAATTATTGAAATTTCATACCAAGATTCAACTACCATTTTGAAAACATGCAATATATGACAAGCATTATAAAATTATGCTATAATTGCCCATTATATGAAATGCACGTAAATGCTACAGCAACACACAAAACACTGTTCATACCTGCAATGTGCAGAGCAGTGCATCCAGCTTTATCAACAGCATTGACATCCACTTTTGTCATTTCTAGAAGCACCTTCATAATTTCGAAGTTCCCTCTTAATGCTGCTAGATGCAAGGCTGTGTAGCCTTTCTTCTCCACAGTGCTCACAATGGTCCGTGGATCCTCCAACAGTATCCTTTGTAACATGAATAAAAGGGCTAGTGTGTCTTTAACCTAGCAGATGGATGGATAAATGTGGGAATGGAATGGATTTCTGTTTTAAATAAAGGGATCTAGATTTGATTGAAGATGTGATACTCTTACATGAAGTCATTTGTGCTAATTGAATAATGTAGCTTCACCATATCTGATTTCCAACAAAAGGCGCAAAAGCATCAGCAAGCAGCTCTCCCCATTTGATGAGATGGCACTCTGTGGTCCCTTCGTTGATTTGAATCCAACTTGAATCCATCTCGTTCAGAATATACTGTTCTGAACAAGGTTCAAGAAATGTTAGAAACAAACTGAATCGGGAGGAATCGGTTCTGTGTACTAGAAGCTGGATATGGCCCATAAACTGCTGTAGTTAGGATTTGAAGATACTTTCTCGCTTTGGACTTTATGGCTTCTTTCCGATTGCTGCCAAATTGTCGCCTTGAAGGAGGCCATGTACCACAGAGGGAAGAGAACAATAACCCTCGACTTCACCTCACCCCTTTTTTCTTCAGGGGTAGTCTTCAGCGAGATTCCTAGGGGAAAATGACAGCAAAGGATTTGGATGCTGGACTTGGAAACAGCCAGGTGTTCAGTACACAATATATTTTCAGCCCCTTGTATGCCGTGCATATGGTGAGTGGCTCCGATCTGAAGGAGCACCTAACCTCTCGAAATTGCATTTATCATCGAGAGTGGAAACTTTCATGGAAACACTGGCCTTTATTCTAAATCAACCAGCTAAATTCCAGTCAAAATTCGCCTAATGTTTCCTAATAACCATATAAAATTGGAATGTGATTAATTTATATAGATTTGTTCCTTTATTGTTCAAATAAATATTATATATAAGCAACCTGTTGCATTAATATATCACATGCAATATATTTACGTCTACAGTGCAACTTATTATTATCCGTTTTCCTTCCCACAACATGTTTCGGCCATACACGGCCATCATTAGGCGTCTCTAATTCGCTGAAATTGTTGCACTGTATGGTATGTCCAACTTCTCATGTCATATGTGAATGCAATATCACGTAACTTAAAATAAATGGACCTTAATTAAAATGAATAAAACAGTTACCTTTTACGGAACATGAAGTTCAAACTGATTCATAACAGCTCACACTAGAACCTATTCTAAACCAGATACCTAGTCCATGCCCAAACACTCAATTTAAATGTGATTCTTCTATTCCTACCCCCGTTACCCAGGTGGTCTTTACCTTTCAGATTTCTTACTAAAATCTCATGAATATTTCTCATGTTCCTCATGCATGCTAAATGTTCAAACAGAACTCGTCCTCTCTGATCTGATCATCCTATTTCAATTTCTTTTTGAAACGGTAAAAATTATACAGCTCCTCACAGTGCACCTCCATTCCTGATTCCTGAAGTCTAAAATCTACAATGAACGGAAAGTATTTACATCATTCAGAGGCATGCAAGTGCTCTGCTATAGCTTTACTGAATGTGAACGCAAGTACCTCATTACTTCCACATTGCCTCCATAAGCAGCTGAGTGCACTGGGCCCCAGTGTCCCGATTCACAATTTGGATCTGCCCCAGCATCCAAGAGGTTCTTGACAAGTTGTGGTGACCCTAGGGAGCAGGAGAGAACGAGCGACTTGGACAGCATCATCTTGATCTTACTAGGAGAAGACACTCTTCTTGTCAATCTCCAGAACGAATTCTTGTACGAACCCACAGGAAGATTCCATTCATTGCGCGCATGTGGACCCAATATGTCACTTATGACTACCGCAACACTTTCACCAGCCCAAGCTGTTTTTGCTGCTTCTTGCATCTGAAACAGGATTTGTCTAATTTGGAGATCATCTAGGGCTTCCGTAATTTACTGAAAATACTAATTTCAAGAGACGCTTTGCTGTGTGGAGGTACAATTGACTTTCTTTTAGAATTTCTGGATAGACAAGGAGGCAAATGACAGGAAGTTGGAGAAAGCTGCATAATGAGGCTATTCTAAATCTCTCTTCGTCACAAAATATTATTAAGCTGACAGAATCAAGTAGGACAGGATGGGTAGGACGTACAACACATGCATGGGAGAGATGAGGAAGGAGTATAAATCCTTAGTCTGAAAATCTCTAGGAAAGAGACTACATGGAAGACCCAGTTGTAGATGGTAGAATAATGTTAAAATTGATCTTGCAATAGAAAGAAAGCATATGAGATACGCATATATCCAGAATAAAACAGGAATAACTGAGAGATATTACTATCATAAAAGAAAAGCAGCAAAAGCTGTTTATGAAAAGTACAGCAAGAATTACGGGAAGATCTTATTAGTATAGTTGAACATGATATGCATGTAAGACAATTAATGGAGAAAAGTATGAAAACTTCATGAAGCAGAAAATAGATGAACAAGAATAAATCATCTGAAAGTAAGTGGGTAGAGCATTACAAAGAATTCTGGTATAACCCTAGAGAAAGTACACACAAATTAAAAAAAAAAAGAATAAAACTAAAAAAAAAAATTAGACTGATTTAACCACAATGGACGAATTATAAGACTCCTTAAGAAAAACAGAAAATAGATAAGACTATTGGACCTGATAGCATTAATACAGAATTATTAAAACAAGGCACAGAAAGTCTCAATAGCAGACTTTTAAATTGTATTAATGCATGCATATGTAGTTATCAGTCAAGGAGTGAGGCGGGTGTGTATCCTAGCCCCGTTATATTTAACATATACGTATATTATACATGGATGTGTATGATGTAAGAGACTTGAAGAATAAATAGACGCAGGTACTAAATAAAGTAATACTCTTAGAGCTCACACGGTCCTCTTTGCTCATTTTATGCTGACATTAGAAACAAATATTAAGATTAATTTCAGAGGAGCATGTCTGAAATATGAAAAGTAGAACTGCTTACAATCTTAAAACGCCCACTATAAAAATAAATTACGGATCTCCAGTAAAATACGCAACTCGAGCAGCAGCAACCATAGGTAATAAGTCAGTTACGGAACAAGTTTCAGACTTAAAATATTTAGGCTGTAATATTACATAAAGGTAAGGGTAAAGAATATTCCTGGTACTCATTTCTATTAGAGGATGAGTCGACCCCAGGACCATAGTGCGGCTGGAAGGATTAGGTCAATTGAAAAAATCCAATGACCTCATTGGGACTTGAACCCGCGACCTTCCGGCTTGTAGCACAGTGTCTCAACCAACTGCTCTACCGCGTTCCCCATAAGAAGTTTAATTTCTACAAGCCGGTCACGGTAGCCNACCGAATGTCTTAAGATCTAGTGAAACGGAGAGTTTCATGGAGGTAGGCCAACACTCAAATTGGGGCTGTAGCGCTGAAGGAAAAAGAATCCTACAAAGAAATGGAGAGATGTATGTAAGCAATTTCCGTAAGAAAATGCCTGCTTGACATTTTTAACAGTTCATTTATTCCTTTAAATCATTCCTTTCACTTTGTTAGTGCTGGATAAGTACATTTCTTTCAAATGTTGGGGCATTTCGTTGTGTCATGAAATGTCCCAATCAGCCCGGATTAACTATAAGTACGACTGTAAATGTTCTCACCCTTCTACGCAGGGGTGTCATGACTCTTTCCTCAAGTTCCACGGGTTTGGCGTCTTCGGTGGCTGCAGATTCATGGACGGAAGTTGGAGACACACAGCTTCTCCTGTTACATTTCTCTCTTTTATGTGTCATGATGATGCCGAACTGGCGTCTGCAATAGCAGAACTAGAACACCGGAAAATGCAGAACACTGCAATATTCGTAAAAGGCAGACCTCAAGTCCAAGGTTCCTGCGAAGTTCTTAGGTTTTAATTGTTTGTGAGTTATCTGTTTCATAACCGTTCAAAGGGCCTAATCATTAATATCTGAAGAACCGAACTTCAGGGTTCGATTCCCGGCAGAGGGAAACAAATATTTAATTTCTCCAAAGAGTCTACGCCTGCTCCTGGACCCACCCAGGCTCCTATTTAATGGGTGTCGTGGGCTCTTTCTCCGGCAATAAAACAGTCCGAGTTTTCCGGTTGACTAATAACCTACATCTAGTGCAGAGGTGGAGTTATACCTCCACTCCCCATGTTTTGATGTCATGGGGCTTGGTTAATTTCTTAAGCACACGGACATATTAAATTCCTTTTACCTTATTGTTGTTTTACTTACGATGTTTTCAACTGTTACTAGTTGGTCTATGCCGATGATGTAAATCTACCGAGTGATAATGTAGCTACCATAAAGATAAACACACAAACTTTAATTGACGCTAATAATGAGATTGGTCTAGATATAAACACAGAGAAAATTTAGTATATGTTGGTATCTCTTCACCAAAATGCATGGCAATATCAGGACATAAAGAGAGGTAACAGATGTTTTGAAAATGTGGCACAGTTAAGATATTTGGGGACGACGATAACAAATCAAAACCTGATTGAGGAGGAAATTAAGAGGAGAATGAACCCGGGTAATGCTTGCTACCATTCAGTCCAGAACCTTTTGTCTTCTCGGCTGCTGTCTAGAAACATAAAAATTAGAAGATTAAAAACTATAATTTTGCCTATGATTCTGTATGGGCGTGAAACTCGGTCTCTGATATTAAGGAAGGAACATAGACTGAAGGTGTATGATAACAGGGTGTTGAGGAGAATATTTAGACCGAAGAAGGATGAAGTGACAGAAGGTTGGAGAAAACGGCATAATGAGCAGCTTCATAACTTGTACTCTTCTCCAAGTATAATTAGAATGATCAATTCAAGGAGGATGAGGTGGGCAGTGCATGTAGCACGAATGGGGGAGAGGAGAAATGTATATAAAATATTGGTGGGAAAGCTGGAAGGAAGGAGAACACTGGGAAGACCATGGCGTAGGTGGGTGGACAATATTAAAATGGGTCTTAGAGAGATAGGATTGGATGGTATAGATTGCATTGATCTGGCTCAGGATAGGGACCGGTGGAGGGCTCTTGTGAACATGATAATGAATCTTCGGGTTCCATAAAATGCTGGGAAGTTCTCGAATAGGTGCACAATTGGCGGCTTTTCAAGAAGGGCTCAGCTCCGTGAGTGAGTGAGTACTATTGTACGTACAGCGTCGAAAATGGAATGATTAGTGACTAATGAACTGGAAGATTATGGAAGAAAGCAGTCACGGCCCACATTCAGACACCATTCTGCCAGTTGCCAGAAGGAACTGAGAAAAATCACGAAAATATCGGTCAGGTTAAGATCTACTGGTTGAGATTTGAACCCAGACATTCAGAATACGAAGCATTAATACTACCCAGTCGACCTCAAAATTCGCTGGCTTATGCAGTTGTGTCGTCCATGTATAATTATACCGGTTTACCTCGCCTGGTTCTTCGCTTGCTATTCACCACCCAGACGCTCTAATTACGCCTAAGGCGTCACAAGACACATACTCGGGCCCTTATGTTAAGGCAAATTTATATTATCTGATTATTTAATAGCTCCTTTTCTGGTCGCGCCCTGTTCCTATTTACTTCGGTAGGATTCCACGTATAGGCCTACTGTTTGCGAACACAGTTTTCAGGGTTAGATTTCTGGTCCTCATAGCGGCAAGTATCGAGAATCTTAAGATTACAGTCTTACGAGGTGCGATGTAGTGTAGTTTGGTAGACAGACACCTACGTCTTTGAGGAACTAGCGTTACCCATACAGCCTACAGATGAAAGGAGCAGATTCTTCCGAAAAGTCGGCAGCTATCTCCGAACCTTATAGTGTCAACTTCCAGAAGATTTTGCTAATCTTATTTGATTCAAGGCATCTGAGAACCAAGTGCTGAGAAACGTATGTGGGCGTAACAGGAAGTAACAGAGGATGACGAAAGTTGCAGACATAGCAAACTGGTAACTTACACACTTCCCCGAACACTATTATTGTGACTAAGACTATTAGTCGCGGTGCATGGGGAAACCCACCCCCTCCAATAACAACAACAATAATAATAATAATAATAATAATAATAATTGTGACTAAACCAAGCAGGACGAAATGGGCGGATATGGAACCCATACGTGGAGGATCAGCAATTATATATGACTTTAGTCAGAAAAGGTGAAGGGAGAAGAATACTTGACAGACTAGGATACAGATAATATTTTTTTATTGCTAGTGGGGTGGGACTAAGTCCCTTGTACTGCGGCCACTTCTGGCCTATTGTACCAGCCCCAGATGATATGTTAGGGTGATTGTGGAGTAATTGGTAGAATTGGCAGGGGAAACCGAAGTATTCGGACAAACCCTGCCCCAGCGCCACTTTGTCCACCACAAATCCCATTTGACCAGACCCGGGACAGAACCCGGGCCGCCGAGGTGGGAAACCAACGACTAACCGCTTGAGCTATGGCACGGCCTTGTATATGACTTTAGTTAGAAAAGGTGAAGGGAGAAGACTACTTGACAGACTAGGATGTAGATGGTAAGACAATATTAAAGCAGATATTGAAGAAAGCTGGTATTAGAGAGTGGAATGTTTTCATCTGGCTCAAACTAGAGTCCAGTATCAGGTTCTTTTAAATACAGTATTGGACTTTTGGTTCCAGAGAAGACAGAAAATTTCTTGAGGACGTGATTGTCAGATCCTCAGGAAGGGCGACTCTGCTCTATGGAGTTGCCACTTGTGGAAAAATTCAAGTATATATGCACTGAAAAGACTTAGTATCCATATTCGGGGAACAATTTCAGAGAAGGAATGTTTGCCTAAAGATTTTGAAAACGTGCAACGTCACGCGGTAACAATATTGACAACAGTAGAATCGATTTTCGACTCCTGAATGCATTACGTAATACTGTTTCAACTCAAGGCTAAGCTCTTCATGTTCTAAAATGGTGGAATTTGTGGAAGGCTGAATGTAAACCTCTCTCCCGTATTTCAGGAGCAAACCATGAAGAAGCACGGGTGAGCGAAGAGAATATCGAAACCAAATTATAATCCTAATTTTATAGACACAAGAAATTAATAAAAAAATTTGACCTACCAGTTTAAGTTGAATTCAATTGCTGGCTAAAGCTTTTTATCCATTATTTGAAAGTAAGATTCCTTACGAGAGATAGCTTTAATATTTGTTCATATAATAATTCGGAGATATAACTGACGTTATAATACCCGACCGAAAGTGATAGTTTATTCATTTTTAACTTTTCGTCGTACAACAGATAAGTGGAGGAATGTATGACCTGGCACATATTACGTTGTCTTTGTGGCACAAAAAGGAACCACTCAAATTTCCTTCTTAAGATGTTAAGGGAAACGTAAGCCTATATAATTCTTATGGTGTTCCTCAAGCACGAAATTAGTATGACGTAAAAAGATACATAAGACCTGCTAGAACTGTTGACTACTGCAAGTCGAAAATAAAAAATACTTCGTAAGTATTTAAAAAAGAACGGAGGCTGTGCTCAGGATTCGAATCGGGAACAGTAAAAACGAGAACTGTAAAGATCTTTACAAGGTCAACTTCGTGCAGTTAACAGGTGGAAATTCCTTTGAACAGAAATCGAAAGTTCTGAAAAATTGTATATGAGAAAAACTTATTTGCGGTTTTAGTTGTTATAAATCATATCTAAACTCGTAATACGAGGAAACTTCGCGTCTTATTGTATACGTGAAAGTTCTTATGCAAGTATACGAGCAATCATGAACCGAAAAATTAAATATTAATATGACAGTGTTCTGAACAGTAAGTTACCCATTCATACTGACATTATAAACTTTAAATACCCCTTAACACAATTTTCGTGTTCCATGTTGCTGATATTAAAGTGAATACAAACTTTAAATGAATTTTTCTCGGGTGCTGAGCTGTGTCAACGTGGAATTTGTGCCAGACGTTTCGGAGACAGTGGACATAAATTCCACATTGATAACGCTGATTGCTCTACCATGGTTCATTGCATGATGCCGTCGTTGAGACCCCAAATCCTATGCAAATATACACTAGTCCGAGTCTGAAAATGGACATGTAAGCAATAAGAGGGATAAGAGAAAACTTATACTTCAGCAACTTACCTTTAAATAGGTTAGTCTTTCTAATCTGCACAGAGAACCTTGTTAAACTGAAATCCGCCGAGAGCACACAATGGTTACCTCTGTTTAGAACCGGCATACACGGGTACAAACAAGAGACAGGGTTAGCAAGCATGGCGTCTCAATTCCTGACCACATCCTGTAATTTCACTGTCAGCAGGAAATTGTTTCCCTTCCGAGCACAGATGTATGTACGTCTTGAATGTTCACCTCCTGCGACACGACTGGCAAATATTCCAGTATCGACCTGTTTCCTCTATAAAACAAAACCACGCTGCTACTGCCCTCAGTCGGAAAGTATGACATGTTTAGGTATTCCATCTATCTTTATGTCTTCTACAAAGTATATTTCCATGATATTTGATATTTTACCTTCTTCATGAGTGTTGCGTGTCCTGGCTTTCTCGTCTTTCGTTATTTAATCAACCTAAAAATTCTGCACGAATTGAATTACACCATAAGTGTTTTTCCAGCTTTCGATGTTTATTCATTATTAGATTTCTTACGCGCTACGTTAGACCCCCCAAATTAGCGCCCTTCCCTAAAGACAGACACTATTTAAAACAGCATGCATACACGTAAAAAGTATAATTAGAATGATCAAGTCAAAGAGGATGAGGTGGGCAGGGAATGTAGCATGAATGGGAGAGAAGAGGAACACATATATGATAT